AAAAAAAATTCCTTTAAATTAAAAATTTTAACCATTACATATATGGGATATATTTTAAATATTGATCTTGAATGTCTGGTGTTCTCAACAAAATTTCTTCTAATAGTTGTGTTTATATCCCCTGTAGGGTTTGAAGACTGGGATGTATTATTTAAGGACAAGACCTGCAGCTAATCCTATCCAGTTCACTCTAAATAAGGAAAAGCTGAAAGATAAGGAGAAGACCTCAAAGGAGGAAGAAGAGAAAGAGAGGAACACAGCAGCCATGGTGTGCTCTTTGGAGAATAGAGATGAATGTCTAATGTGTGGATCCTGAAAAAAGAAGAAAACAGTACATCTTCCATAGACAAAGTACTTGAGCATAGATAGGCATAGTGGGTTTGCTTAACATTACATGGCTTTGCTGGACCATACTGAAACAGAAGGAATAACTGATTTAAAGTACTGTTTATAGTATGAAAGTAATAATTTGTAAAACAAACAAACAAAAAACTTGGCATATTGGGAATCAAAGTAGAAGTTTTAAATGCAAAAGAAGTCATCCTCGAAATAGGAAGTGACTTAGTAAAGTTCATCACTTCGCTAGCAATCCTTTTCTGATGATCTCAGTTTGGATAAGGAGACTTGAATTTTGCTGCTTTTACTGGTGAATTCCTAGAAACAAAACTGAGTGGTGTCCTGTGAGAAGTGCCGATAGGACCTTTATCTAGATAAAATTCTATAGGTCATTCTGAAATAAAGTTTTTAAAGTGTTTATATGAGGTCAGTTTTTTTCATTTATTGTCATACAGTGTTCATGTTTAAAAAAATGTATTTTCTTTGAAACTTCAGGGAAGAAAGTTTAAGACACTTCTGTGTTAATATATGCCCTTTTCCTTCCCTTCCCCCATGATAAAACATACATAACATAAAATATACCAATTTGCTGGGCGTGGTGGCACACACCTGTAATACCAGCACTTGGGAGGCTGAGGCAGGAGGATCGTTGCAAGTTTGAGGCCAGCCTGGGCTACAAAGTAAGATCAAGGCCAGCCTGAACTGCATAGCGAGACACTGTCTCAAAAAGACCAAAAATAAAAATAAAATAAAATTTACCATTTTATCAATTTTTAAATGTACAATTCAGTGGCATTTTAGTATATTCACAGTGTTGAATGACCATCACCCCTATTCATTTCCAAAACTTTTTCAACATTCAAGACACAAACTATACCCATAAGAACAGTGGCTCCACATTCTCCACTTGCTTTCATCTGGCAATCTGTGTTCTACTTTATGTTTCTCCCTATTCTGGGTACCTCATATAAGTAGAATTTGTCCAGTGTCTGGTTTATTGTGTTTAGCATAGTATTTTCAAGGTTTTCGGTGTTGTTGCATGTATCAGAATTTCATTCCTTTTTAACCCTGAAAGAGGTAGATAAATATTCTCCATCCTACATTTTGTTAATCCATATATTAGCTTTCCTGTTGTTGAGACACAATAACAACCACCAACAATTTAGGACAGGTTCAGTGTGTGTAAGTTGGCTGGCTGTAAGGCAAGAACAACCCTGCAAAAGGGCATGGTGGAGCAAAGATGCTTAATTCATGGTGACCAGGAACTGGGCAGGGAAACATTACCAGGGAGGAAAGGGTGCGGGACAAGATACAGATGCCCAGGGTCATGCCTCGATCACCCACCCAGACATACCCAGAAGTGTTGCTTACTAATCTGAGTGGCTGCCAAACCAGTCAAGTTGACAGTGCACCTTAGCTGTCACATCCCATCCTTGATTAACTTGGTACCCAAACACATCTCCTAAACTGAATCTTCAGATAAATACAGTTCCACCCCACATGCTGTGTATAACCAAAACACAGTAATCACTTCCCCAGGTTGTCAATAGTACCAACAGTTTTCAAAAGTCTCTTCTGAATTTTAAGGCAAATGTGTTCTTTTGGAATATAGCACACTTCCATATGGGTCACTTCCTACTCCACCTTAGGAGTCTGCTGGGACTCAAGTCTAGTTATAGGTCTGTCTAAACGCAGAGGGATGGTGCAGGTATGTTCTGAGGAGAATCTGCAGTCTTGGAAAGGAATCAACTATGTGAGTTTTCTAATTTGGGAATATATGGGGATGAATAGTAAGGAAAAGGGATAATGGTGGAATACAAATTTGGTTTAGGCTTAATTTACTTATAATAGATCCATAAATTCTGGATTTAATCTTGCAGTTGGGGGGATTAGAAAGTGTTCTAACTGGTTGGTTGGCTGGTTGAAACATGGACCAAAATGTGGTCTATGGTAAAAGAAGTTGAAATGCCAGAACTTCTTGGTTATCATAGAGGAAGGAATACAAAGCTTTAGGGAGATTAACACTGACCGTAGGTGTGGTGGGCCCTGAGACCATTCTGTGGTTATGTCTCCAGTTCTGGGGCATAGTGTAATAAACATACTCAGCAACTGGTGGGACCTTCACATTGATCCTCTGACCTCTGAAGTGAGGGGCATTGTGGGGAGAACTAAGCACAAGCCACTGGGAAAATGGTAAACCAAAATCAACCTTACATTCCTGGGAGGATGGCAGAGTATTGTCATCACTGACTTCAAATATTCAGAGGTGATTCCCACCTCTCATTGCCATTCGACTCACGTTGATTTAGCTTCTCCGAACTTGGAGAATGATAGTTGACTGTTAATAAGCCTAATTATTATAAGCCCAGCTGGGTGGGAACTCCAGATGTGTTTTCATTGCTTGACCAAATTACATCCCATGTACTTGGTACACAACTATTGACTTGGGAAGTGCTTTTTAAAAAATCTGTACTCTTCAGGAGAGACTAGCATAAGCAGTTTGCTTTCAGATGGCAAAGCCAGCAATACATTGTTTGCTCTAAAGGCCCCATGTCACAATTTAGTCCCCACGGGACTTTGATCAACTTTCCCTCTATAAGATACCAGTTTTGGTTTTTGGTTTTTGGTTTTTTTTGGTACCGGTAAGTGAACTCAGGACCTTGCACATGGCAGGCAGGGGCTTGTGCCACTGAGCCATATCCTCGGCCCTCTACAAGATGCCATACTGGTCTAATACGTTGATAACATGTTGGTTGGAACTTGTGAGTGAAAAATAGCAAGTAACCTCTATGTATTGGTAAGACTAGTTTCATCAAAGTTTAGGGATCCAGTAGTCTGAAGCATGTTGAGATACTGCTTGTAAGGTAAGGGATAAATTGTTGCATCTGATCCCTTTCACAGACAAAACAGAAGACAACAAGTTGGCCTTTAGATTTTGGAGGGGAAATACCATTTTTTATGTAGCTTATTTATGTAGCTAATTTACCAAGTGACCCAAAAACTGCTGGTTTTGAACGCGGTTTGGAATAAGAGAAGGCACTGCCTCAGGGCCAGGCTGCTATAGGAGTTGTTCTGCTTCTTGGGCCAAAGGATCCATTGATCCAGTAGTGATTTAAATAAATGGTAGCAGATGGAGACAGGCTCTCATATGTAAATCACAGCAGTGCCCCTTACTTAGAAGTTTGGAGCAAAGCCCATCCTCTGGATGTCTATTTTTTTTTTTTTTTTTTTTTTTTTTTTTTTGAGAACAGCTTTTGGTTTGCTACTGAACCTAAGTAGATACTGGCCATTTACATTTGGGTCACCAAATTACAGGCTGACCATGAAGTTGAGTGTACACAGCAGTACTCCATCATCAAATGGAAGTATTATATACAAGATTGGGCTCAAGTTGGCTCTGAAGGCTCTCAAGTAAGTTACATGCAGAAGTTACTTAAATATCTATGTCTCCCCTCCTGCTACACTGCTGTTCTGTGTCCTAGTCTGCATCTATGACCTCATGAGTTCCCTGTGATCAGTTGACAGAGGAAGAGAAAAATTTGGCTTGGTTAACAGGTAGTTCTTGCAGTGGGCAGGCCCCGTAGCCCCTTTCTGGGTCATCCTTGAAGGATGCTGTTCTACAGATGACAGGGAGCTGTGGAAGTCTTTTAATCAGGGGAATCACTACTATTTTACTTCTTTATTTTTATTTTATTTTATAAGTTTGAGATAGAGTCTTACTATCTCTTACTATGTTACCCAAGCTGGCCCTAAATTTCTGGGCTCAATTGATCCTCTTGCTCCAGCCTGATGGGTAGCTGGGACTAGGCATAGATCACCATACCCAGAAAGGGAATAACCTTTAGATAGATCACATTAGCTGGTATAGGAAGAATGCCTGATTTATGGGGTTGGGTCAGACTCGAGTCTAATCCCTGATCAGGGATTAGTCTGGTCTGTGGGTCTGACCTGGGCTCCAGGCCCAGGCGTTTGTGTTCTAGAGATCAGCCTGGAGATCTCAGTTCTGACTTGGTGTTTGGCTCAGTTTGGGCTCCCCATGGAGGGTCCACTGTGATCTTTGGGTCAGACTGGAACCCAGAAGAAGACCTAGTCTTAAGTATTTTAGACGAGAGCCCTGGGCATGACCTGACCCGTTTGTGTGGGCTATACTGGGCACCCTGGGTCAGCTTGACCTGTGTGCCTGTGTCAAATTTGGGATCTGAAGCTAAGGCTGTACGTATTTGGGACCGGTTAGGTGATGACGCTCAACCTAGCTTTTGATTAGATTGGAAACTTTAGAGTTGTTTAGTCACACTGAACTTCATGTCAAGTCTTAGGCTATATTTGGGAAAGATATCACGAGGGAAGGACTGGGACTGTTTTGCTTCAGATTGGGTGTTCAGGGCACATCTTGTTCTATTTTACTTGCTTTGAAATGTCTCCTAGTGGAGCTCCATGCACTCATATTAATTGCAGCTTTCTCAGGAATTGAGGGAGGAAGCACAGAGAAAATAACTAGGAGAATAAGTAGGTGCAAGCAATTTTATTAATGAGGCAAGAACAGAATATTCTAAGAACTCAACAATTCATAATCTGCTCAGGAAAATCTAGCCTGTCTCTGAGTACCCCATTCTTATCTCTCATTCTCAGTCACAGGCTCAGCTTCCCAAGTTCGTAGTGTTCCTTTATCCTGGCGACTTCCTGTCCACTCTCACACTCTGCAACCTCTTTGGCTGCTCTCCAACCTCCTGCAGTGATTTCTTTTTACAGAGTATCTTTTCTACATGTTGCCGGATTTCTTTAGTTCTTACCCCATAAATGAGAGGATTCAAAGCTCCTGGGAGCAGTAAATATATGGCACTGAGTAGATTCTGGACATCCTGAGACACAGTCTTGGCCACTCGGAAGACAATGGAAGTGGAAAGGCCGGAGAGGTAGATGGTGAGGATGACCAGTAAGTGGGAACCGCATGTGTGCAAGGCCTTGGATCGGGCTCCCCCAGAAGAGATCCGAAAGGCAGCGTAGATGATGCGTGTGTAGGAGGTTCCTAGCAAGGCCAGATCAAAGGTCACAGTGACCAACCGCATAGCCAGCCCCAACCGGTTGTTGAAGGTCAGGTCTCCACAAGCTATGCTCAGCAGTGCAATGTACTCACAGGTGAAGTGTCGAATCACTGCCGTACGGCAGAATTGGGCTTGTGCAGTTAGCACCACCAAAGGGACTGCCACTCCCAGGCTCCGAGTCAGGGCAAAAATGGCCAGCAGACTCAGCAGGCGGGAGGTCATCAGGTCAGTATAGCGGAGTGGGTGGCAAATGGCCACATAGCGGTCCAGAGCCATAGCTAGCAGGAGATTGTAGTCCAGAAGAAGGGTGAAGTAGATAAAGAACATCTGGACCAGGCAGGCCCGTAGTGATATAGGATTAGCATAATGCACAAAGCCCTCCAGCATTTTAGGCATCACAGCTGTGGCAGCACAAATGTTGACAGCCAGGAGCAGAGCGATGAGCACATACATGGGCTGATGCAGATTCCGCTGGGCCACCACTGTGTGGATGACCAGGGCATTGGCAGAGATGATGGTGGCATAGAGGAAGGCAAGAGGAAAAACCAGGAGGGACCGTCCCTCCTGCAGTGCAGGGAAACCCACCAAGAGGAACGTGGTGTAGGAGATATTGAAGATGCTGGCATTTCCATCCTTGCCCATTAGCTTCAGCCCTGGGCTAGCCCCCGGAGTGGGACTCAGAGGCTGTTGGGACAAAATGGTCAAAGGGAAAAAGCCTGTTCCTGTTTTAGGGCCTGAAGATTTTATGATGAAAATTTGTCCCTTCATGTATATGTATCTACTTCTTTTGAGGCACGGTCAAATACAATGTCAGCTTTTGTAGGAGCAAAAACATGAACAAAACATTCCTTATTTTCAGGGAGTTCATCGCTTTCTATGCATGAGATATAGGCTCACGAGATACATGTTTAACTGTAGGTTAATGTGCAGGTATTTGATTGCTCAATAAAAGGGTTAGAAGGAAAAGTAGATATAATATGCAAGGGAGAAAAAAGAGTGATAGCTAGAGGTAAAATAAGAAAGATTGAAGAAAAGAAACTCTTGATTAGAAGGAAAAGAGAGTATACAAAGAACATTTGAAGCAAGGAATCTGGAAAGGACCAGGTGAGGCTTGTTGGGGAGAGAGGAACCAGCCAGAAGGGATAGCCTACCTGGTGTGCTCAGGGTACACTATGGCAAAGGCAGAGGGAAGACTTCTGGTCTCCATGGACCCAAAGTGATATGTGTGGAGACTAGTTCCTTCCCCAGGCCCTCTAGACTAGCTGCAGCACCTCCTGCCTGGCCTTGCTCTCAGAGTCATGGCTGATGACGTGCCTTTCCTTGCAAGATGAATTTGGGGAAGATAGGGTAACAGCATGACCTTGGCGTGCTCACCGGACCTCCAAGCCCAGAACCACCACAGAGACATGGCATCACTCGAGTATTGCTTGTGAGTAGGTGGATGAGGAATAGGAGGGGAAGAAAAGGGCTAAACCATGTATTTGGGATTTTGGAACAGTAATGTCAAAGCTTTGGCAGGATTTTTGCATAATTATGGGAATAGATATTGAAAGAGGTAACTTGGACAAGGTTGCTCCATGTCCATCATGTAAACTATAAGTTGCTCTCCTGTTTTGTGTTGTGGGATTCTTCAGGTGGATTCCTTAAGGAGCCTCCCTGACATGGGACCCCCAAAGCAGTGAATGAAGGGAATGCAGAACAACAGCCCTGTAAAGAAGGAAGGAAGGGAAGAAAAAGGCTATGAGAGATGGGAAGATAGGATAACTGTCTAACAAAGATCTTAAAGAAGAGAGGCTTTGTTGAATTAAATCAGACTTAAAAACCAATTGGAAGTAGACTGAAACAGAGGAATCAACAGTAACTTCAAGGTTTTTCTAAACTATGATGACTAATTTGGAGTTTCCAAAACCCAAGAAAGAAGGAATAGGGCTGGAGTACTAGAAGTATGATACAATTAATGACTTACATTTGGATATTTTGAGGACTTGCGAATGAAGAGATGTCAAACCAGTGACTGAGTAGGAGCAGAGAGTTCAGGTGAAGGTGTAAGGCTGGAAATGAAAATGTGGGGGTTACAATTTTGTAAAGGACATGGGATGAAATCTTGAGGGGCAGACAGAATAACAGATCTCAGTGAAACCAAAAAAGGGAAAAGAGGAAGAGTGGGATTTGGGAGCAAATGGAGTAGCGGAAACCAGAGGAAGAGAAATTTGGTTGGTCTGGAGGCTTCAGAGTACAGGAATTTACAGATGGGTAAGGGTGGAAGATCAATACAGCTGAATTACCCAATAAGCTTAATGTTCTGAGTAGCAGAAGAGCAGAACAGGCAGGAGACCTGAGGATGCCAGGCATCCTGTGCGTGCTGCAGGAAGAGGCGTACATCCTCCAAGGTACAAGTCAAAGCCACAGGCTTTGACTCCCAAACTGCCTGGCTACTGTAATCATCTTTCTCTCTTCCTTCCATTCTAGTGGAAGAGATGTCTCTTCTCTCTTGTCCGTGGGACAGTGTCTACTTCTGTCTTCCTTCCCCTCGAGTTATTAAAAAGTTCAAGTCTCTAACAAACAGAAATACTCTTTGTTAACTGTATATAGCTTCCCAGATCCAAATCTTTCTCCTCACTGTTAAAGCTGAGCCACTGGAACGTCTTTATCGTACTATAATCACGGGTTTCCATATGTATTTCCCCACTAGCCTGGCATAGCGGGGAGACCATGTCTTGTTCATCTCTGCTCCAGCACAGAGCCCATTGCGCAACAGGGTGTGCAAAAAGTGTTGTGTTGAAGGAATCAATGAGTGCAGAGAGGGATTCTGTTTGCAACTCAGGAGCCCTTTAAGGTTGAGTGAATGAATGAAAACCTAACCCTAAGAAGCCAGGTTCAGAGACCTCAAGTGATTTGCTTAGTCTCACACAGCAAGAAAAGCCAAGCCTCGAGTCTAGGTCTTCTAGGGACTCTTCCCTGTTCATCTCTCATGGTATATGCCCCCCTTTGGCACTAGAAGGGCTTTAAGTAAAAATTTGTTTTTGTGGTACTGGGGAGTGAACCCAAGGGCTCATCATGCATGCTAGGCAAGCACTCTGCCACTGAGCTACCTCCCTAGTCCTTTGTATTTTATTTTATTTCATTTATTTTAATTTAATTTATTTTTGAGGCAGGGTTTTGCTAGGTTGCCCAGGCTGGCCTCAAACTTGAGATTCTTCTTCCTTACCCTTTGACTCTCTGAGATTACAAGGGTGCACCATTGTGCTCAGCACGCTTCAAGTACTAATCTCAGCAGCAGTATTAAGAGCTAGTACCTACTGAGCATTACTGCCTGCCAGACATAGACATGGTTCAAAGTGTTTCCCACCTAGTATTTCTTTACTCATGGCAGTCCTCAGAGACGAATAGTACTTACCAACCTAGTTTTAGATGAAGACACTAAGGTTTAAAGAAAGTACGTTCTTAAATTTTCATCGGTATAAAATGACGGGGCTGGGATATGAACTTAAATTTGTCAGTGGTGAAGGGTGGAATTCAGTTCCAGTCTGAGTTTTATCGGCCTCCAAATTCCCCACAAATCTCTTTTCTCCTCACCATGCACTGGGACAGTCTGTTGTGGTCTCCAAATGGGCTGTAGGGATGTTGGTTTTGCCTCGGAAGAGGTGAGAGCTGAGGTCAGTGCACAGCTCCAAGGCACTGATCTCTGAGGCGAAGGAGGGGGATGGAGGGTAGGTAATTACACCCACGGCTCCAGGGGAGGAGCCTCGGGAGATTCCCAGAGGAGAATCATTTCCAGGGGCTCAAAGCAGAAACCCAGAAGAAGCTGTTTGCTCTTTGTTGTGTTACTTTCGTGGTTGCTTTGGGGTTTTATAGCGCATATCGTTAATATAGCACAACCTATCTTCAAGCAATATTATGCCACTTACTGAATAGTATGAGGTCCTTACAATATGATACTTTCATTTCCTCTCTCCAGCACACATGTAATCAATGTCATATGTTTTATTTTCACATTATTATAAACCCCACAATGTTGTTTTTTTCTGCCTCATTTTTCTATCCTAGAGATATAATAGAAAAATGAGATAGAAATCAATATTATGTTTGCAAAATTTACTCATTTTTATGTGACTGTAGTTTATGTTATTGTTGATAGCATTCCAGTGTATGGATGTACCAGAATGCACTTATGTATAGTATTGTTCAGGGACATTTATGTTATTTCTAGTTTTTCCTGATTAGGAATAATACTATTATAAATAGTCTTGTACTTTTTTTGTTTTGCTGTGTATGTGCCTTAGGAGAGATGATTGTGTGTGAAAGGCTATGCATATCTTCAATTTTACTAGATAATGGAAAATTATCTTCCAAAGATGTTGCAATGATAATATCACCAATAGTATATGAAAATATGTGTTGATATTTATTGGGAAACTATCATAATACATATCCAAATCTATGTCTCCATGATAGATGTGGTGAGACTGTACAGTGTACAACCTGAATATCTGTATGTAAGAGTTTGGCATAAAATATTTTTTTGTATGCTTATTTTTTGAAACTACTGTTTAGGTCTTTTGCCTATTTTACTGTTAAATTGTCTGTCTTTTTCTTACTGATTTGTAGTTGTCTATGTATTCTGGATAGTAGCTTTTTGCCAGTTAAATTTATTTGCAAATATCCTTCCCAAATATGCAGCTTCTCTTATCACTTTTATGGCATCTTTTGATGAGAGCAGTAGATACCAGAGAGTACATAGGACATCTTTGTACAAATTGCAAAAGGCTTTCTCTCTGGTGACCTGACAATTGTAGTGTGGGTTGAATTTCATCTTCCACATGCTTTTGTAAGATGCTTTTGGACAAGATACTACATAAAATTGGCAACTCTGCTTTTTCTTACGAAAAGCTCTTAATTTTAGTGTGGCCAAATTTATGTTACTTTTTTCTTTTCCTTTATAAAAAAGTTAATGCTTTTTGTCTTGCTTAGTAAGATTTTCACTACCCAATGTCTTAAAGATATATTCCTTTGTTATCTTATAAAAACTTTTATGAGTTGGACTTCAACATTCCGATATACCTTTCTTTAGCATTTCTGAGGAATAGATGCATATTATACATTATATCATGCACATAACCTCTTTTGAGATGCAATAGATAATATAGAATCATCATAGTAATTTTAACAAGTCTCTGCATCATGGTATTATGTTTACTTTGTCTTTGCTGTTTCATGTTTGCCTGTCATAGGTTTCACTGTAGCTTTGTGACTTTTGTAGGCTTCACTGAGGATTTAAGGGGTGCCTGGCAGGGATCACATTTTCTTTTTATTTATTTTATTTTATTTTATTTTATTTTATTTTATTTTTTAGGGATCACATTATAGTTTATGCAACCTTTTGCCATTTCTTGTATGACTTCCCATCTTTCTCATCTTCCTTCTCTCTAATAAATGAACACTTGTCTTGTTTCGCCCAGTGAGCAGTCCCTTTTATGAGGGCAATATTTATTTATTTATTTTTTTAAGAGTAGAACATATTTATTGAGGGAAAGAAAGCTTCTGTCTGAGAGGACAGAAGAGGGGCCCAAGTGGATTGTTCAAGACTCTGTCTTTTCTAAGGACTCTTATAGAGGATAAACTGAAGTGAGGTGGGTCCAAAT